CAAATGTAATACCCACCCATAATTATTTATAGAAGTGTGTAACTGAACTTTAGATATGCAAAGTAACAACTTTATTTCTTTCTATTTTGATTCTTCACTTTGTTCTTTTGTTTTAAAAGTAGTTTGTGTGGCTTCGTCACTCTAACCTCAAGGGCATGAATCTAATTACAAAGATGTACAATCTTCAGAGAGTAAAAAAGGATTTTGAACCAAATCAATGTACATGTAAGAAGGTTTAAGAAAACAATATATTTAAAAATGTATATTTGTTTTGACATCATCGTTCCTTACAAAGATTCAAACATTTTAAACTATTTCATCAACCACCGTTAAGGAAGGAGCCATCTGTAACGATAAGGGGCAATGATTATCAATTTTTTACAAAAAAATTAACTTAGTCTTACGAAGAATTTGAATTTATCATTTGTTAAATATCAAAATTCAAAACTATCGTAAGGCTTTGTGGGATAACATATGAGAAAAGACTACATTTTTTTTAAAACCTTTTTTGAGTAATTTAAACAATAAAACTCTTTAAATGTACTATATCATGAGAGAAAGAAAAATATGAAGGAGAAAAAAAGATATAATAAATACAGTAAACAAGATAGTATAAAAGAAAAACAAAAAAAGTATAATAAGCAATATACCTGCAAAATAAAAAGAGACTATTTTTTATAAGAAAATAAATAAATAACAAAATATAGGATTTTGAAAAAAAAAATTACAGGAATTTAGTAGAAAAAATTTAATGATTAATTTTTTTAAAATTACTGTCGGTGAATTTTAGTATTTTATAATTTTTACTTATTACATCTCTAAATTTCTACCCCATACAATTTTTTTAAAGTATCATATTTTAATACATATTATTTTTAAATACTATATAAAAAATCAAATAAAGAGGCAAATTTATTTAAATAATATTATTTATAAAACAAATTCTGGAAATAGATTTATTTTAAAACATATTTTCTGTCTGGGCTAATTTTTCGCCAGGTCAGCACCTATCTCGCACCTGTATGGCCGATAGCAATTTTTTAATATTTTTTAAATAGGCTATTGTTCCAGACTGTCTGATACATCTTTATACGCTGACACGTGGAATTGGACGAAAAATAATAATAATAAAAAGAGTATCGGTCCTATAAATGCAATAGCAGCCACATGTGATAATAGAATTTGTATCGTCCCACAAGCAACGATACGCGTTTAAAATCAACAGTTAGGGAGAAAAATAGACATGTGTTCAAATCGTAGCTGTATCTGCTATGGAAAATCGACCGGGCTATCGACTAAGTTGGTGGGATACTATTTGAAGTTGGACACGTGGCTTCATCGAAACGAATGCTGCGAACGGCTTCTTCTTCCCTTTCCTCCTTCCCTCCCTCCATTAACGGCGGCATCAAGAAAATTTTTCATTGTTGCTCTGAAATTTTTCTGATCAAGTTTCTGATTTTGCAGTGTATTTAGAGAAATCCAAAGGTAAACATAACATTATGAAAAAAAATAAGTTTAATCTTATTTCTAAAAAAAAATTTGTTTCTACATATTTTAAAATTTTATACATTGCAGTCCATTTTCTTATACGTTGCAGTCCATTTTCATCGATCCTCTGCCAGTCCATTTTCGTCGATCCTCTACCAGTCCATGTCGTCGATCTAAGGTTAGTGATGAATGGAAGTTTTATATATATTTTTATTATATTTTACTTGAATCCTTAAATTTTTATTGTATAATATTATGTAGAAAAAAAATTGTAATATCTGAATTATTTTTTGATTGAAAATTAAATTTATAAATAGATTAAATGTTGTTATATTAGGGGTAGTTTAGCATTAAATTTAAAATTTTATGTATATATGTAGATTTAAGTGAGTAAATTACATTTAACTTTATACTTAATCTCAGTAAAAATAAATGAAATATTTATTGTAATTAATAAATAAAATATATTAATGGTATAGGATTTTTATAAAATAGTAAAATGCATAATTATTTTAAAAAATGCATATTAAAACATGAATTATTTATTAAAATTTGTAATAAATTCTATTATTGTTTAAATTAATTAAGAGGGTGATTAAAGAAAAAAAATGTAATGTAAAAAACTTTAAAATGTAGAATAATTTTTATTATAAATAAATAAACTTTTAGGTAAATAGACTTTTAAAAATAATAACTAGTACATGAAAAGATGTTATAAGTAAATTAAAAATTATTAAATTTTTAATAATAAACTAGATCAGTCTCATAATGAAATCATTTTTAATTTGATATGAAGAAGTATAACACCTTAAATTTAATTTCAATTTAATAAGAATTTCACAAATTCAAATAATCAATTTTCATAAAATACTTCAAAATAAGGGAAGGGTTACAAATTAATATTAAATGACTGCTACAAGACTAATTTAGTTACGACAAATTTTAAAATAAAAACTAAGTCCTATAGCAGTCCATCCATCCCTTCACTGAGTCTGATGCTGATCGTCTTGATTACTTGAAAAATGAATATAAAGGTAAGTACTCTACACTACCCAAAACACACAATCAACATAGAGTCTCACCTCCAGAACCTTCCCAATACATTCAACAAACACAATCATAGGCAGCAATTCACATCTATAAGTACAAAACACAAATCTATGCATACGCATACCAGCCACACTCACTATAATACTGTGATCACAGATTTATACCATGAATGGTCGCCGGTTACCCCCGCCTCACGGATACCACGTGGGCAGTCACAGGTCACTCAGCAAAGATAGTAGTCAGAGGTCTAGTCACAAAGAGAGTGTGTGGCCCGTGGTGCACCCATTCCGCAGTCGGTGTCACCACCACTCCCTCTTCCCCAAGGTATTTCTACCGTCCTCATCTCCCACATCCTCAGTGTATCGCTGAACCATTCACAGCATATTATAACAGCGCTAACACGCCCATTCACACATATTTAATTCACGCATGCAATGATCATGCTTACGCACGAAACACAACCCACATGGCACTCAAATACACGGTGCTAGGCCCACATTCATTTCACATTACACGACACAGCCCACATTTATTCATAATATTATTAATTCACCAATCAATGACATTCCATCACACACAATCACCCTCACGGGGTCCAATTATTCTACCACACATCACATTGCATATCAATTTCTATCAAACACACAATTTCTATCTTCTATCCCAGCCACATTGCATTAATCATCAAAACACACAAGAATTACAATACATTGCGATAGGGTAGAGTCTCCCCTTATCTTGGATTGACGTCCCACGTGCTAAATCCACCAAGAAGTGCTCCCCCTCACAGATTTCGTCCTAAACACATGGAGAAACTTCATGAGAACCTAGGGAAAACACGAAAACAGAGAAAGGGGATGAAAAACCAAAACCCTAACCATTAAAACTTACCTCCAAGTGTTCCCCACACAGATTCAACCTTCAATCAAACTCCCGAACGGCTTTGGAGGTAATTAATCGATTGAATAGAGCTTTGGGAACGAGAGGACCAAAGGAATTTCGAAGGGAGAGGGAGAAATAACTCTCCCCGAACCCTAACCCCCTTTAAATCCTTATCTGGTCGCGACACTCTCACTACAGTGAGATATTCTCGCTGCAGCGAGGTCCCCTCGCTGCAGCAACATGCCCTCTCGCTACAGCGAAAAAATCAGAGAAAATTGCACTCTAGTTTCTGCAGAATCTCGCTATAGCGAGACCCTCTCACTACAGCGATACTGCACCCAGAAATGCACTCCAAACTTTCACTTTCTCGCTACAGCGAGAAGGTGACAGTTTCAGTCCTTTCTCCCAGGCGCTCTCGCTATAGCGAGAGTCCTCTCGCTGCAGCGAAAACAGCCCAGTATCACACCCTGCACTTAGGTACTTAGCCCATTTCAGCCCTATCCAGTCATGCATACACGTATATACATACACACATCCCCAACATACATACATGCACATATATTCATACTCATTACACACAAAACACCATCATTACGCATCCAAGATAAATTCATAACATTTATTTACACTAGTACACACATATATATGCATTTAGATTTATATAAATATAATAAATAATATTACGAAAATTTGGGACGTTACAAAAGGAAATTTAAATGATAATTAAAATGAAATATATATAATTCAATTGAAATAATCAATATGTATTATCGTATAAAAAATAATTATTTAAATAATTTATTTCAGGATTCATAAAAATTAAAATTTGAAATATTTAAAAATAAAAACATATTACATTTTAAATATATAAGAAATATTTGGTTGTTATAGAGTAAAATAATATTTATATTAGTAACATTTGTTAAAAAGTTTAATTACATAAAATTATAATTATACATATTATTGCAAAAATTAACAAGTTGACCTATGTAATAATAAAAAATATAGTTTAAATAATTTATAAAATGTTATAGTTTTTTAGATTAATATTAACTCTGGTTAGGAAATTAATTTATGTTATCACATTAAAAAGAAATTATATTGAAGTAAGAATATGGTTAAGTTAGATATATTAAACGGTAACAATTAATAAAAAAGTTGTTAAAATATATTTATGTAAGTTAATAAATATGTTGCTATACATAAATATTAAACTACTGTAACTTTGATAAACTATAACTCTAATATATAAATTGTCGTAGGAATAATACGGTTATATCATTATAAATTTTAAAACAAAAGTGTAATTATATTATAAAATAAAATATCAGTTATGTATATACATATATAACAAAATAATGTAAATAAAATAATATTAGATATTAATATGTAATCGTAATATTAATTTTTGTTTGTTCCATACCATTATGCATATTTAGCCTTATTATGTATCCATATTTAGCCTTATTATTTTTAAATTTAGTGATGCGCATTTAAATAATTGAAAGATGGGTCAAACCAATTTATTGTTATTGTTAATAATATGTTAATAATACTAATATTTTATTTTAAATTATCATATGGTTTCATCTTCTTCGCAAGGTCTAGTGATTAATCCAAGCCCAAAGAATCCATCATTATTGCATTTTCAAAGTATACATGTGTCTGAACACATTTGGGATGGTCGAGAGCATCTAGTGATGAAGGTTAAGAAGTGTCAGTTTATACCAGCTGGCCTAGACGGTGTTTCCGCAGAGATTTTACCACATTTAGAGATGGATGACTTTGCTGGAGTGGCGCAACTTGCCAACTTTCCATTGGATAGACATTTGATCACCCCATTGGTTGAGAGATGGAGGCCTGAGACACACACGTTTCATATGCCACTAGGAGAGTGCATCATAACGCTTCAAGATATAGCCATACAGATAGGTCTTCGGGTTGATGGACTTTCAGTATTTGCAGCGACTAGCGGTAATTGGCCGCAGATAGTTGAGGACAGTTTAGGTATTAGGCCACCACCAGAGGTTTTTGTGGGGAGCAGCTTGAAGCTTTGTTGGTTAGACCAACATTTTACTGACGTTGCTATGCATAATTAGAACAAGCTTTAACTGAAAAGATTTGCTAGAGCGTATATTATGAGACTGATTGAAGGGTTCATGTTAGCAGATCATTCTAGCAGCAGAGTCACAGTTCGATACCTACCTTTACTTGAGGACTTCACCATCACAGGGCAATATAGTTGGGGAGGAACAGCACTTAGTTTCTTAAATTATATAATATATAATACCTCTATGTTGTGCATTTTCATGAGCATTTAATATTGAATTAAGACCACCATCCACATTAGTATTTGATGAACTATCTGTTGAAAAATCTCATTCATTTTCGTCGTCATCAATATCTTCATCTTGGTATTCACTTTCTACATAATCATAAAATTTGCTATCACATAAACATACTTATAACACAGTAAATATCATTTTTTATCAAATGAAAAACTTTCTCATACCTGATCCTAATTCATATTCATCATCATCACAGATATTGTCACGTAAAAATTTACCATTTAAGTTCACACCTTTTGCCCGAATACAAGAACTTTCACCAGATGCAATATCTGCATACACTTTAATTGCACTCCTCTGAGTTTGTTGTAAAAAAATACTTAACATACGATCAATATTTTCTTCATCACATATATCCCATATTTGTATATTGTCTACCAATTGAATCTACTAAAAACTGTGAAATCAATCTAGATATAACTTGATTAGTAGACAATTGCAATTTTTTATGAATCTTTTTTTTTAATGTCTCAAAACTTATTCCATGGTCAATTTTAATCATTTTATTATTTTCTTCAAAGGTAATACCCTCATTATTCGAGAATATTTGACCATTCCAATATACTATTATCACAAAATTAGTCATCATACATCAACAAATTCAATACACATACAACAAATTAAATCAGTAAAATTTAACAAATTAAATACGCATACAACAAATTTGACACTTTTTTTCATATATATACAACATTCTCCTATTTTATATAAAAATATTTTTTTTAAAAAATATTAATTTCATACTTTTACGTATTTAACAATGATTTTTAACAACTACAATTTTTTAAATTAAATTTATAATAAACCATTTTTATTTACAATATCTATTTATTTACAATACAAATATCAATCTTTATTTTTTTGGGCTAACATAACACAATAAAGTTTACGTTTAAAGTTAATTATCAAGATAAATTGAATAAAACATATTTGTATATGCATTATTAAATTGTTTTAATGTTGTATGCATTAAAATTCAATGACTTTAACGGATTATTATTATTAAGCCGTTATTTTTATTATTTAAACAAATTTCTATCGCATTAATACAATTATTTAACAACTAATAAACAAAACTCAATTTTATTTAAATAAATAACTTAAAAATTATTAATTGGGTAATAAATAAACTACATATATATAAAATTCGTAAAAAAAAAAAATTAAAAACACAAATATATAAGTTAACTAACCTGAAGTGAACTCTTTGTACAGTTTTTCCTACCACCAGCTCAAGGAACGACAATTGTGAAAATCGGAATGTGTGTATATATATGCTTTAAAATTGGACAAGGGAATAAATTCAATTTAATGACCATCAGTTATTACCACGTGTCAAGTCCCCAGATGTCTCGCACCCTGCCACTCGACAAGTTAGCCGCCCATTGACCGTCCATAATACTATCGTCCTTGACTACTCGATACACATCCAAAAGACGCCACGTGTCATTATCCAAGCTGTTCCTTCACATAACTCTTCTTTGGTAAATACGCCATCACATGTCAGCTTATAAAGTTCTTAAATGATAGACTATTTAAAAAATATTAAAAAATTACTATCAACTATGCAGATGTGAGACAGGTGCTCACCTAACAAAAAAAATTAACACAAACAAGAATATGTTTTAAAATAATTCCATTTCCAGAGTTTGTTTTATAAATAATATTATTTAAATAAATTTACCAAATAAAGACAAGTAACACGTTGACAAAAATAAAGTAAAATTAGATAGTGGTGTCTGTATAAAGGTGCTCTTGGCAACACAAAAGTGCTATCCAATATGAAAGGGAGGATAGTCTCACATTCTGTGTCTCTTATAAGTGCTTTAATTTCTTCAAAATCATCATTTCCAGTCTCCACCAACAGAGAAGAGAAGAGAGTGATCACTGATCTCCTCTCCTCTTGACTCGTGTGTGTAAATGGCTTCGCTTCTACCTCTCTTCCACACCTTCCCATCTCTTTCCCAACCATATCACCTTTCAACTCCATCATCATCATTCAAATCCACACTCCTCTTCCTTCCAATTGCCAGCAACAAACCTTCACCCACCCTGAAATGCTCTTCCACTACCCCCGAGACCCACTTGGACCCACAACTTGAATTCGAAACATCATCATCATCATCCTCAGAACCTCCACTGAGCCAAGTATGGAGGGAAATCCAAGGAAGCAACGACTGGGAAGGGCTCATAGACCCCACGAACCCCCATCTCCGCCGAGAAATTATCCGCTACGGCGAACTCGCACAAGCCTCATACGACTCCTTCGACTTCGACCCTCACTCCAAATACTGCGGAACATGCAAATACCACCCCTCACACTTCTTTCAGAAACTCAATATGTCCCACATCGGATACACCATCACGCGCTACCTCTACGCAACCTCCAACATCAACCTCCCTAACTTCTTCCAGAAATCCAAACTCACCAGCGTGTGGAGCCCACACGCCAACTGGATGGGTTACGTGGCAGTAACCACCGACCCAGAACAAATCAAACGTTTGGGTCACCGCGACATAGTCATTGCATGGCGAGGAACTGTCACCTACGTCGAATGGATTTACGACCTCAAAGACATTCTCCGCCCTGCACTCTTCACCAACGACCCATCCATCAAAATCGAATCAGGTTTCTACGATTTATACACCAAGAAAGAAGATTCTTGCAGCTATTGCTCTTTCTCTGCTCGCGAACAAATGCTCTCCGAGGTTAAGCGGCTTCTTCAGTACTACCAAGAAGAAGAAATCAGCATCACCATCACAGGGCACAGTCTCGGTGCTGCCTTGGCTATAATCAGTGCTTACGACATAGCAGAGCTTAGGTTAAACGTTGTTGAAGATGGAGAAAGAAGTTCTAAAATCCCTGTCACGGTTTACTCCTTTGCAGGGCCCAGAGTGGGGAACTTGAAGTTCAAAGAACGGGTTGAGGAGCTTGGGGTTAAGGTGTTGAGGGTGATAAACGTGCATGATATGGTACCCACCGTGCCGGGGATAATAACCAACGAGAAGTTTCAGTTTCAGAAGTACATAGAAGACGCGTTGTGTTTTCCGTGGAGCTATGCGCACGTGGGGACGGAGTTTGCGTTGGATCACACGTGCAGCCCGTTTTTGAAAACAACGAATGATTTGGGGTGTGCGCATAACTTGGAGGTTCATTTGCATCTGGTGGATGGGTATCATGGGAAGGGAGAGAGGTTCCGATTGGCCTCGAAAAGGGACATAGCGCTTGTGAACAAGAGCTGTGACTTCCTGCGGAACGAGTACGGTGTTCCGCCCTATTGGCGACAGGAGGAGAACAAGGGAATGGTGAGAAGCGGAGACGGCCGGTGGGTGTTACCGGACCGACCGAGATTGGAGGCTCATCCGCCGGATACGGCGCACCATCTTCAGCAAGTGTTGAAGAACCACCGTGCGGCGAGTGAGCAATTAGAAGCCACGTGATGAAGAGTCAGGGTTAGTGAATGTCATTTGTGGAAATGTTCTTTACATGGTTCTCCATTAATTGTCCCCTTTGTGAAGACAATTAATTTCCTTCCACTGCAATATGGACATTACTCATGCTGATAAAAAAACAATTATTTTAATCTATTATGTAATTAATTCGTATAATATTTTTTATAACATTATTTTAAGCTTGTTGATTGAAACATTATTTAAGAAATTAATAGTATATTAGAAATATTATTATATTTTAAACTAATATTTATCTATTATTTTTTCTTTCTATACTATCACATTAGTTTTCCTCTTATTAAATATCTCCTTGTCCTCTTTTCTACCTCTTTCATCTCTTATCGACGTTGGACCAAAAAAGTGTTTTAGTTTCAAAAATGGCGTAAGGACAAAGGAAAAGTGAGGGAAGCCAAAAGGGGAGAAAAATTTTGGGGTGTTGGAAACTACACAATCCACTTACATCGTGACATATACCAAATATTTTTTTCATAAATTATAAATGTAAAACATGGCACAATGTGACACGTGGTCCCGGAGCATCGTCCACATAGCATGAGCAAGTAAACACTAAGAACTGGCATTCTGCCAAAGTCCATCCACGCGATTCTATAGTCAATACTATTAGTGGACCAATAACATAGTGTTTTAACTTTTATTTAGTGGAATCAATAAGCATCTTTTTTCTTTATGAAAAATGTTAAGCTAGTCGACTGACATAGTCAAGTCACATCAACTGGACCTGCACTTTGAAATATTGGGTTGTGCAAACTGCAATCGTCTCCATCTCCGACGCCAATTCATCCCAAGAATGGGAAATTATTGGGGGGTACCACGCATTCTCCGTTACTCACATCGCACTACATACTAATTTTTTTATATAAATTATAAAATTTATATATGGGGTATAATAATGGATCTAATGATTCTGAACCATACAATAAATTTTCCCCTAGAACACCACGATTAACCTTCAGCCAAGTGTGATTCAGGGTCAGTTTGGAAACCAATTTTCTTGGCTCACGCCTGGTGATAGGTGGCGATTTGGAGTGGTTCACAGTAGAGAGATGAAGATGAGGTTGCATGTTGAGGTGGCGTGGCAGCAACGGATGCTGATCATAGCGTGCACGGTGGTTTCAACGAGGCAGAAGCTTAGTTTGCGGTTCTGATGCGGTGGTGAGAATGCAATGGCAAAAACTGTCGATTGTTCTGCTTGCCACGTGGCAATTTATGGTTAATTAAGTGATTAGTTAAAAAAATCTAAGCAGATGGAGGTAGGCAAAGGTACAATATCTGAAAGCACTATATACAAAATTAATTAAACAAAAATATGTAATTATTTAGAATTAATAACTTAGGAAACCAATTATGTTGTGCCACCTAGCTTGGAGGGTTAAACCCTACAACTTCTAGAGCTATGAGAACAATGCTCTTTAAATAAAGGACAAGACTTAATCCTGTAAATTTGCCTTTGATAATATGAATTGACTTTTAATGTTGATATTGATATTTGATGTATATTTTCATTATGCATATTAATAAATTATTATTTAGGTAAAAGTTTAATTTTACTTGAATAGCAACACTAATAATACTTATAATATTACGCTTAAATTTTACTATTAATTTAATTATAAATTAAAAGTCGATCAAGTTTCATTATATTAATGCATAAAAAAAATTTTACTCTTAAAATAATTATATATTTTAAAATAAAAAATTATAAAAATAATTATATCTTAATAATTATAACAAATTTTAAGAAATTATTGAAAAAGACATAAATTTTTAGTAATCATAAATATTTTTAAAATATAAAATATAGTTAATAGATAATAGGTTTGTTTTTCTTGAAGAAATGTACGAAGAAACTTTTAATCATTAGGTCTTTTAAAATTATTACGGTATAAATTAAGTTGTTAATTTTTAAATTTGATTAAATGAATTTATATTTGTAATTGAAATAAAAATAATCCATACATTTAATTATAAAATTTGTTAATAAAAATTGCTAACAGAGTTTAGTTTAGCAAAAAAAAAAAATACTTTAATCTTTAACAAAATGACATTCATATTTAATATTTAATATTTAATTGGACGTCTAAAATAATTTATAAAAATATTTCATGATGCATAATTTTTTTAATTTATGTTAATAAATTTCACAATTAAATTGTTTTGTATAAATCACTTATTTATTAAATAAGCACTTTATTAAAATTGAATTTGTTAACACACACTTATAATTTATTCAGAAATTAGTAACTTTTTTTATTCAATTAATAAATTTGTTTGGTGAACAAATAATAAAATAAATTTATAGCATATGAAAGCTAACTTTTAAAAAATTACTTCAAATAATATTTATTATTGAAAGTTAATTGTTAATATTTCTTTTATTTTACTTTTAGCATTTTAAATAATTTATATTTTCACAAAATAAAAATAAATTCTTACTTTAGTCCTTTAAATATTAAGTGTAAGACATTCCAATTTTTGAATTTTACACTAGTGTGAGTCTTTTATTTTTATTTATCATTTTTGTTCTTTAATTCAGTGACGTGTATGATTAATTATGTAGTAAAAATAATGTTGTAAATGACATAATATATATTTTTATTTTATTTTAGTTTTTAAGATTATTACTAATAAGACATTTTAGTCTATAATTTTTAAAACTTTTCATTTGTACCTCATCTTCTTCTTCATTATTCTTTAACACTACCATTTTTGAGAATTATCATCATTAATTATTGTCAGTGTCTATATTATCTATAACAAATTCACTTTCGTTATCAGCACTTTTCTACACTCAAAACTTTAATTATTTCCTACATCAACCTCCTTAGTTCTCTTTCAAGATATATTCATTCCAACTTTACCTACATCAATTTTTTTAACAACTTAAAAGAATAGTATTCACTTCCATTATTATGCTTAATAGCCTCAGAATCCTGAATCTTTCTTTCAATGGACTTGTAGGTACAATATTGTCTTCTATTGGGACCACATTTCTTTTCACTAAAAAATTTCTTTATGGCTTTGAATTTATTGATGGAGCCTTTTTTATATTCTATTTTTTGTCATATTCGATTTGATTCACTTAGATCTTAATTCAAACTAGCTTACTGGGTTTATTTCAAAGTTCATTTTCAAAATAAAAAACCTCAATGTGTCAAATAACGGTAATAAAGTTGTCAACAGATAATACAAATATAGATAGGAGTTGACAATTGTATTGCTAAGAAATAATGAAATGATAGGTAAATAAAAAGTTTTAAAAATTAAGAACTAAAATGTCTTAATGTGACAATCTAAGAGACTAAATTAAAATGAAAGCATACACTACATTGTATACTAACATTATTTTTTCACACAATTAATCATACATGTCAATTAACATGACATGTTAATATTATATTACTGTATGTTTATGTTACATGACTTGAAGAACTAAAATGATGAATGAAAATAAAAATTAGAGACTAATATGAAATTTTTAAAATTTTATAAACTAAAATATTTTACACTCACTATTTCATGGACAAAATGAGGGTTCAATCCACAAAATAACTTTAACTCTTATTTTTAGTCATTTCATATGTTTTTATTAATTATACAATTAGTTTTATCTAATAACTTTAATTCAACTAATTAATTATAAACTATAAATTTTTTACTAGCTTATTAGCAATAAATTATAATTTTGTAGTTATTTTTATCAAATGAAGTCTATACTATTATCCAAACACACCCTACCTTTTAAATAGATTTTTTATTTTGCAAGTTAACCGTGGAAAACAAAAAAAATATAGTCCCTTAGTTGATAGCTCAACGGTAAAACTAGAAGGACAAAATGTAAAGATGAGAGTTCAAACTCTGTCACTTGCACAAGGAGATCTTGATATATGAATCAAACATCAGGGCCATCAAGGCAAATACCTAGCCCATGAAGACCAGATACTCACAACACAAGCACTGAGAAGGGCTTGAATAGCATAACCCATTATAATTTATGAAAACAAAAAAATCATGGCCCACCAAAATTAATGTGCTTGAATTGTGTTGTGACAAAATTCGCTGACACTACTATTCAAAATTAATTTTAGCACATAAAGTTGATAATTACTTGACCAAACAAGAAGTTGACATTAGCTTTGAAACTGTGATGTAGAAGATGCTATTTATGAGTGAAAACGAGAGGATATGGTTATAAAGAAAGTCTGTACTTAGTAGCTTTGAGCTAAGTAGCCCGAAATTATAATGAAATATGTGGTGGAATCAAGCATGTAGTTGACAACTTTACATTTGTTGCATGGCTAGGCAAAATAGTAGTTAAAAAGGGCACTTACGAAACTTGATAATAAAACACAAACCAAGCAAGATTCAACTACAAACCAGATTTGGATAAAATAAGATATCAAAACAGCACATGCAATAGTTTAGTTTTTCAGCAACCCATGTAGTAGGTATTGACTCCCAATGAATCAAACTTGTACAAACACATACTACAGGCACAAAACAGCAACGTTTTTCAGCATTTATGTTGCACATGTTTTTTATCGACATCGTTTTAATGTCGCACACATTTACTATGTGCATTTTCCAGGAAAAAAAAATACAGAGAAAAAAAGGTACAAGCAGAATTTGTGATAACAGAAAAATTCTCAATGGGACTATGTAGCAAACTTACAGTGACCCGCCCATTCCAGTGAGCTAAAACCACAGGCGATTATTTGGATTTAACTAACAAACAAAACTGGGGAAAAGGTAGCAAAGGAAATGCTAAATATGTAAGTTTTGTATCATAGTTTACATATATAAAAATAAAAACATTTTTTTAACATTTAAAATAATAATACAAAAAAGTGAAAGGGAAATTAATACTTTATTTGAAAGTCACAATCAATGCATCCTATTTTGATATATGTGATCACGCTGATAGAGAGGTACATTAAAGAAAAAAGTCCAGATTTGTCCACTTTTGCCAACAAATTA